TTTATTTATTTATTTTTATTATTATTTATTTATTTCCAGTTTGTAATTTTAACAAACTTTTTTGTTTACAAAAGTTACATGGACTTCCCCATACAGTGGAAGTCAATGGAAACCAAAACTGTTTGGTTACCAACATTGTTCAAAATATCTTCTTTTATGTTCCATAGAATAAAATAAGTCATACAGGTTTGGAACGACATGAGGGTGAGTAAATAAAATTTTTTTTTTTTGGGTTGAACTATCCCTTTAATGACAATAACACTGGTTATTATTATTTGACAGGCCAGGGTTTCACTCTCATTTTTACCTTCAGCTCCTTGACAGAATTCCTTAACACCTCCATTTGTTTGTTCTTCCTTTGGACATAAGAATCGATGGACTCCATCTTGTTGAAGTGAGCCTCATGGAGTTTCTTGAAGTCTGGGGAAGAGTGATTTGCAAACACATTACTCAAGAGCAGAGCTCAGAATATTTGGTTACATGTGTTAAATAAGCTCAAGTGAAACAAGGAACTAAACAAGAACAAGAAACTGTCTTTTGAATACCGGTAGTACAGGAACTGGAAAATATATTTTGTTTTAGTGTATAAAGTTGGAAGGATCTTATTACTAGGAGTTGTCGGCCGCAGCGCAGGCTTTCTCTTCATCAGACCCTCAAGACGGGGGATTTTACCCACTGTTCTTCTCCCCACACCTGCAAGATATACATTTTAATAGTGAACACCACACATACGGTGCAGGAACAAATTAAAAGGTAACTTATCTCTCTCATCTATTAGATCTTAATTAATAACATCTACATGAACAACTTAAAATCAAGGCGGTTTTAACCTTTAACACTTGGCTCTGCAGGAGCATCTTCAGAGTCTAGATTGGTTTCCCCAGATTCTAGACCTTTCTCCACAGGATCTTCTTTAGTCGAAGTTCCAGGTTGAACTGGAGTCTGTGTGTCCTCGGCCGAGGACACCTTCCTCCTCTTAGAGCCCCTTCGGCCCTCCTCTTTTCCCGGCTTTTCTTCAGTCTAAATATTACATATTAAAAAATGAATTACAAAACCCAAGACTTGTATATAATATCTAAAAGTAAAAGATAAAACAGTCTGGATTGAAAATAATGTACATATGCTCATGAATACCTGAGCAGTGACAGGTGTGGAGTCATTGAGCTTTCTCTTAGCGGTGCGGCCTTTTCCTCGACGCTCGGTCACAAACCTTACAGTGTGCGCGCCCTGCTCGTCCACCGCTAAGACAGCATCGTGCGCGTTCGCGGTGGCTGCATCATTTCCCTGCCATCAATGCAATGCAATTCTGTTACAACAATTCTTCTCATTGCCGAAAGACTATGGTGACAATGTAAAAATAAAAATACTCACGTTCTCAGACGTCTGCTGTTGATGTTGTGAAAAGTGTTCTTTTAAAGCTTTCAACAGCTTTTCAGCCTAGAAACAAGTAAAAACGGAGTATTTAATAAAAGCAGAAAACATTCATGCACAAATTAAATGAAAGGTTTGTGATTTAGCGCAAAAACGTAAACAATATAACCCAAAACCTAACGAAAGGTGACCATACTTGACTTAGTACAGCGTCCGTATAAAAACATACGTGATAAATCTACTTTTACTCATGCAGTTTACACAATACAGGTCGTTAAGTACACATGGAATGGCTGCAAGCAAGCAGCACTGCATCACTTTACCGTAGTAAACGCGTTTTACCTTCATATTTGCTTTCAGTCCAGCCTCTTTCGCGAGGCGCTGCAATTCCGCATATTTAAGCGAATCCATATTGTGGATAATTTCCATGGTAAAACAGCAGATATAACTGTAATGTTGAAATTGACTACTCTTTGATATACGGCTCGGATTCTTTAGGTGGGAATGCCGTTTGAAAATGAACGCGTTTCAAAAACAGCTATTTCCGCTAGATGATTAGTTGAGAAGCATATGACGATGCTGCACTACATCCAATAAGAAGTGGCGTTTATGTCTCGTTGGTTTTGATTGGCTTAAAGGGTTCGACAAAGGCGGGTTATGAGTGAGCGGTTTAGGGCGCCACCTAAAGTTCGAGCTAACAAACGAATTAACGTGTTTGCGTCTTTTGAACTTGTGTGAGCAAGAACGACAAAACTTGCGGATGTAATAATGTCGAACAGCAATCGAAGTTTTCACGAAAGCTCTTATGATATCAGTCCGTGTGACTCGACACAGACTAGTTCAATTGCAGATCAGCTAAGAGCAGTGAAGGACGGAGAAATCTGTATGGTAGACTATAGGAATTGCAGTGTCCTACAATGCATGACATGCAACACAGTGCTTGGAGACTCTCGCGGCATCTGTGGGGAAGTCCAGAGCC